AATTGGTCTAAGTTACACGCGGTATGAGACAAGATGTTCTGCCTTTCTTTTTCATTAGTGACAAACACTATTTACGCGGTATTAGTAAGTTTCGATGCTCAACTCTCTCATTTGTTGTTTTTCACCAAAAAAAACTGTCGTTTTTATCTTTAATTCCTTTTTATAAAGTTGTTTTAAACCGTTTCTTTTAGCTCCCCCTGGTCAATTTCAGCACTAATCACCAATCGTGTACTGCATTGTTAGAGGAGGCGGAGCTTAGAGAAAATAACATACTCGCGGGAGTTTTGAAAAAGGTCCCACTGTAGCCTGTGGAGGACAAGTTTAGCAAAAAAGCCGAGGCAATAAGCGACATTTCCAGAAAATCACGATTTGATATGAATTCCACACTTTGCAATCTCCTAAAAAAATTTCCATAAGGTTTTCCTGACAATCAAATTGAAAGAAACAAATGGTTAAACAGCAAAGGAGTTTTTCCCTTTCACAAAATTACGTCAATAAGTAGGCAAAGTACTGTTTCTTGTACTAGCAATATGTAGAAGAAGCGAGTTTTTTGTACCCATTTTGATATGTCTTCTATACGTCCTAAAGCAAAAACAAAGGTACAGTGGGCCTCTATAATCTGTCTTCTTCAAAAGCCCTATGGTAAAAGTGGTTTATTTAAAGTGATTTTATTGAATCCAAGAAAAACATGCAGCCCCCTTTTGCGCGACGGAAAGTTGTGTCTTTGTAACGCACTGATGTGAACAACTGAACAAATGAAATACTTATTGCAAAATTTAAAAAAATGCAATGAAACGATATGGGCCGTCAAGATATTAGATAGGTTGCGGAAAAAAAAAATGGTCTGAGTGGAAAGGAAGTTCTCTTTCTAAGTGGTCATGGTATTCTTTATAAATATGACGCCATGTCTTCGTTCGAGTCTGCGTTCTTTCTCACTATAAGTAGGCCTAAACAACTTTCCCTTCTTCTTCTTCTCCTCCTCTCTATTCACAATCGGTTATCAGGATTTCTTAGTTAGGTGTTGTGCAAACGTGTGTACTTTTGAAGACAAGTGACACCACTGAGGGTTGATCGTGAGTGTTTGGGTTTTGTTTAGTGCGCAGACTCAGAAGTCGTGATTCAACAGAAGATTTACTGGACATTTCTCGACGAGAGCAAGAACGGGGAATGGCCATGAATGCCAATGAGAACCAGTTTTTTCCTCCACTTAGTTTTCAGGATCACCATTCAGCTCATGTGAATCCTGCACTGATCGGTGGTGAGTCAAATTGTGTTCGTACAGTACACTACCTTCTATTTCAGAGACTTTAGCCCATGTATGTTTATTTCGTTACTTCCCCATTCCATCCAACATGCCTCTGTTTGTTACAATTTAGGCCGCTCAATAAATACATGTTAACTTAAAGGTAAATATAGAATCGATATAAACTCTAAGCTGCTATCATTATCCTATATTCAGAACATGGAGATTCGCCTGCACGGCAGACAACCAGAACCTTTCAAGACCAAATTCGAGTTCTCATCGAAAACGAAATCGACGAGTTAGTATATGACAGTGGGATCGAGGAGGAAAGCTCCGAGAGTCTCCGACGATCACCCGATCAACGAGGATCCTCCGAGTGCATCCCCGATGGTACCTTGAATTCAAACGAAAATAATTCAGAGGGTAACAAGGACAGAAAAACACCTCTTGCTCAAGTAGGTGAACCGTTCTACCATGTTTTAGAGGGACCTGGGGACGAGTGCAATTCTCTGAGACACACTGTAGATGAAAATGAGAGAGTTGAGTCAGCAAGTATTTATCAACCGCTCAGTATCAGCCGCCAGAATTTTCCCAAGCAAGGGATCTTAGTTGACAACGCTGATGCTGAAGATGAGACGATATTGTCAAGTTCTGGAATTTATCAGCCCTTAACTCCATCAAAGCAAGTCATTTTAGATGACAAGACAAAAGTGACTTCGCATGGTGGCCTTGATAAAATAATCGACCACAACAACACGAAAGCCGCTGGATCATCTAAAGCAATGTATCAACCTCTACTCGATAGACACAAAGCGCGATCGCGGTCGAACATTGACAGACCACGATCTGTTTCAGGAATCTATCATCCCTTAACGCCTAGTCCTGAGAGGGAAGGGCGTCATAAAAGAAGTTGGACAGCCCCGCAAGATATACTATTGCAGGTCCTACCTAACACTTCGAGGTCAGAAAACAGACAAGGTGAGACAGACCCGGTTTATCAAACAGTGGTTGATGAGCAACGGTGTCCCCTGAATATTGACGACCCAGCAAGTGTATCTCCTCGTTCTCCGAGACATTCCCCGCGGCCAAGCCCTCATGAACAACGAAGAACAATCCACGAACCAACCTACATGGCAGTTCACGTGAGGCCCTCACGACAAAATAGAAGGCCTTGTAACAGTGAACATGAGCCCAGGTACACCCCGCCACCTTGTCGGAAAAACCGTTCCCCCGTACATCCTTCAGTCTCCAATGCCCGCGCAGGCCACCGAAGGATTTCCAGTGATAGCGGTCGTGCTTTGTCCGCAATGCTAAACCCTGACAATACTGACACTTCAGGTCCACCTGATAATAGAAGTTCCCTTAGCGTTCTACCACGTCACCTTGGACACCGTAGAAACAGGAGCGACATCGGGCTATGTCCCATTGATCAAAGCCATGAGCATGCGTCGCAGCGTCAGACTTCGGGTAGCGACGGTGGAATTCCGCGGACATCAAGCATGAGATCACTTGTAACAGAGTTTCAGAGATCAGCCAGTGACACAACTCATTGTAGGGTACATATCGGACCTTAAATATTTGTTCGATTGCAACTGAAGCCAAGGTTGTCAGAATTGAAACTTTGCGTTAACTTCTGAATATATGAATAAGTGAGATTAATCCAATACCTTAAACTTTTGTTGAATACCAATGAACGATAAAACGTGGGAAGATTTTGGAAAGATTTCGACATTCCATCTGCGCGGGTAAATTTTTAGCAAATTCTTTATTAATTATATTAATTTATTAATAATTATTCCTAGATTCTCAGGGATCACTTTTCTTCCGAATGTATTTTATTATTATTGGCAAGATAAACTTGGCGTCGATGATCCTCAAGCCTAGTTCAAGCGTACGACGCAAATGCAAGTACAAGGTAAAGAATGTGCGAACGATTCTGGCGCAAATGCAAACGCAAGCGTAAGCGCGGGATAAGAATTGGAGAAAATTTTATTTCTTTCACTCATGTTTTACACAAGGATTTGAACTTTTGTCTCATGTGTACATCTTGTATTGATCCTTTAAATCCGAGCCAAATAGTAAGCAGCATCTAATTTCTCTTTACAGTAATACAGCTGAATTATTCAGTATGATGATAAGAATAGCGTAAACGATCACCAGCTTAAGAGGCTTTGATTGTGAAACGAATTCTGCTCGTCAGTAAAAAAATTAAATGTTTTGGGGAAAGTATGGAGAATATAGATACTGATGAAATTGATTGATAAATTTCATGAGGGAAAGCGTTCTACTCTAAATTGTGTTGCAAATAATACAACAAATTAATCGTTTTGAAGAATCTTATGGGGGGGGAGCGAAGTAAAGCTTATTTTTGTCGTTTTCTTTTCTTTCCCATTTTTTAGTTTTTGTATATTTTTGCTCTTCGTTTATATCAATATTTCTTGTTATAGTCCGGTAATTAGGTCACAACAGCCATTTGTGCGATAAAAGTATTCATTCAGCGTGGCTTTTGCTATCGCTACGCATGGATGAAATTCCCAATAACAATATTCTGCTTTTTTATCAAATAAAACAGTTAGATTCCATGTTACGCATAGATGAAATTCCCAATAACAACATTCTGCTTTTTTATCATATAAAACAGTTAGATTCCATGTTGTCGTAATTCTGCGCTGTGGGAAATCAAGGAGAACGTCAAAGTGTGGTTGGAACATCACTGACACACCCGACTGTGCCACCGCCTGTGCTCCTTTTTCAGTGTTTTTGCCACATTTTGACATAATCTGTGGTCTGTTGCTGAGCAGAAGCACGGCATCATGGAATCTATCTGTGAAATAGACAGTTCAGGTCCTGACATTTCAATATATCTTACTGTTCTTGAATCTAGGCGTAATTCAGCCTGTGGCTGTGATGGTTTAGTTAATAAAGTATTTATCTATCGCTCTACTAATCGGAAAAAAGTAAGATAGCTTTATTCAGCAGAAATTGTTTCTAATTTGACAAGCTAAGGATGAGAAAGCAAATAATCTTTTGATACTAGAATATGTCTCATAATTGCGAGGGAAACATTTCAGTGGACAAAGTGCACAACTGTGTATTGCAAATTGAGATCAGTTCCTTTAAAGTGAAGGTTCACCATCATCTTTTTCCATAGTGATTATTTCTCAGGGCTACTCCTGATCATGTTTGGCCATCAGCACTACTCTGATATAAGCTCCCGTCGACAGAACGTTAGATTACGTGTATCAGATAACTTAGTTTGGAAAACTGGTCGGATTTTGGCTAAACGAGCCTTGAGCGATGACTCTGACGAGAAGAAAATTGCATAAGAAAAATACGTCTCACTATTACGAGAGAAATCCAAAAGTATCGCTCTCGAGACTACCCTCTGATAAAAGTAGTTGTCTCAATCAAGAAGAGGCCAATCAGGAACAGGTCCAACACTGACGTCAAATTGTTCAAAGTGTCACCGGCTAAGTAGATAACACACCACCTGTGACATAAACACGATTTTAGAAAAGGTGTTGTGTTCTATTTAAGTGCCTATTATGGCATTTCATTTTAGCGTTAAAGTCGACATACTTGTCAAAGAGATGGGATTCATTTGTTTGAGTTATTGCAAAGATGTTTAATCGCTCGTAGTAAGTGTGTTCAACGTATGTGCGGCGCTTTTCAGTTGCAGTTTATTTAAAACTGGTAAAGTTTGTGTTCTCAGTGTAAATAACGGCTTGTTTTGTCTACAACTCATTATATTCTGACGATGGCTACCTCTTTGACTACTAACGTTCTCGTTAACGGTAAGCGTCTTTTTTGATATAATTGTTCCACTGAATTTATTTTCAACTGCCATATTTTGAACGTGAAACACGACTTCCTAAATGGTTCTAGCGAAAACGAAGAGCCCAGTAAGCTAGACCTAAGATATTTCCTAAAACGATTGGTTCTACAAAAGATTTAGTGGAGGAGTGATTAGGCGTACATATCATTGCATTGTGTGAAAGAAAAGGTTAAAGTTGCGCCTAAAGAGTGCTATTGAAAATCAATGACAATCAAATCAAGTCAATAAGGCTAAGCATTAACAGGTAAGAAATGGCGATGAAAGTTCTCCATACGTAATAATTATTGATGAACAGGAAATGACTGCAGATCAAATGAACTTAACTGGTGATGATAAACTAAAAATAATAAAAATGTTTGTGATGTATGCCCTTTCGGAGTTCGAGAACTGTTTCAGACAATGACGATGATGTTATGAAGCGGTTTAACCCTTGTTTACATGTGTTCTTTTTATCTGAGATTTACGTTAAATGTTTTCTTCTTTTGGTTTGTTTTTGTTTTTTTTGTTTCTTTACCAAGCTCTTTTTATTCATTTTTCCTTGGCTGGCGTAATTTTCAAACGTGGGAGTTGGCCAAAAGAGCAGAAGCCACAGGTGTGGTCAGGACCAAATCCATGCTACGATAAAGATGGAAACCCGAAATTTGTAAGTCTTCATACAAATGCTGTTAACAGCAATACCTTTAAAAACCTCTAAAGTCCTAATGAATTGTAGAACTGAGACAACAACCCTCAAAGGTTTGTAAAAAACCAAGAAAGTGAACCACGTCACGTCAAGCTGAATCGTTCCATTGAAGTCTAGCTTTATTAAGTCGAACATTCCCAATCCTCTTCAAATCCTGGTACAGGAACCCATAAAGTAATGGGCTCCTGATGTTACCTTAATATTTTAATTATCCCATCTGACGCTAAAATTATCAAAACTTGCTCGGTGCCACAATTCATGTGTAACTTTTTCAAACCCTATGATCGTAGCCTCCTCCAAAAGACCCGCCATGGTTTACTGACGACATGTGCCATCTGAGCGTGTGCGCAGGAGCAATGGTTTTAACCAAGTCCATGTGTGTTATGAAAGGAGCCTTATGTGGACCGGTATGTTCATTACAAATATTGTTTTCTTGTGTTTATTTTCCGAACTTAGTCGATGAAGAACTTCGAAGTGGCTTGGTTTTTTTTCTTCATAACACCAGGAACGTCTACTGCATTATGCATCCCTCGAAGCTTTTACATTATCCTGTGCAATCCTTTGGGCATTTGAACTTTTGGAGATTAGTTCGTTCAAATTCCCCCTCTCCTAAGCCAAAATTCCGTTCAAATACCCTACTCAAGCATTATTCAATATTAAGGAAATTGAATGCTGCAGAATTTGGTAAAGTCACTCGGTAGTTTTTGGTTTTATGGTTGGGTTTTTGACATGGAGGCATCATTCCGTATGATGTTAACTTTTCTTTCTAAGCCATTAGCCCACGGAAGCGGACTCTTTATCTTTAAACTCCTGCATATTGAAAATTGAAATACACGGTACTCCGCTGGAAAGATTTGACACTTCCAGATCAAATTTCCCACTCAGCCGGTCAAGTTCAAACTCCTCACCCACCCACCCCCAAGGAAGTCCTTTTGTGTCAAATGTCCGTGGGTTGCCACGATGGGGGGAGGGGATTATAAATCTATGGATTGATCGGCACATAACGTTTGTTGTGGCGGCTGTCTCATTTGAGCGTGTTTTTAGAATATGAACGGTACGTAGCTTTCTTTTTCAATTGTATCCTTCCCTCTGTCCTTACAGGGTCAGTATTTAGCTGCAGTTCCCAAACCCCCCTCTCCGGCAGCCTGTTGTGTATGCAAGCCATGTAAGTGTCGTGTTGATCTTTCTTTCTCAATTTTTTTTTTTTTAACATACCGTGCATCCACTTTCAACGAGTTCGAGAAAGGGCAAAGGTTAATTGAATCTTATCACACTAAATAATGACGGTTTTGATAAAATTCTTTCATCTGTTTTGACTTAAATCCTTTGAATACCAGGATGTGATTGGGTATTCGTCCTTCCAACAGTTACACATTGTCTTGTAAGTTGGTCAAGATAAAAAATAGCCATCTCTCATTACCTGTCTTCTGGGTACTGCGTTGATATCAAAAGAAGAAGTTAACTGGACTGGTTAGAGAGCCAAAGAACCTGGTTCTTTCACTGCAATGCACAATCTTGATTGCTTATTACTATATTATTTTTGTCTTACAAATGCAGTTGAACCACTTTGATGAGAAAGAACGAATGAAAAGGTTGAGAGATAGCATCTGCGCTAAGCCCACGTAATGCTAGATCTCACCAGAGTTTCTATCCAGTCCGTGGTACAAATCATGTTATGAAACGTCGACGGTCGTCATCAGGTTAACAGCCGAACTCGGCACCGAAAATTGCCCGAAAATTCAACGAAGATCGTCTCCGAGGATGAGAGTCGCAAGTTAAACATACGAGTGCAACTAAGTTGTGTAGCACGAGAATTCTTTTTTCCGTATGTTTCTCTTTTATTTGGGGGGGCAAATGATCAGTGGGAGCCGGAAGTCAGATGTACATTGGACCTCTTCCCACAATTCAAAAAGGGTACATACTGGACCTTAAAAGTTTGTTGCACTGCAAATATGGCCAAGGTTCCAAGAATTAAAACTGTGCGGGCGTCCACATAACGTCTGATTATGAATGAGAACGACTACCTTTAACTTTTGTTGCATTCTAATGAATTCTGAAACGTGAGAATACTAAAGAAAGATGTCGATATTACACCTGCGCGAGTAAATCTTTAGGAGCCCATTATCCGTCAAATGACCGTCAATGCGTGCTGCAGCTTTCACCAGGCGATAACTTCTCGGCTGACCGTGCCTTTAGCAATGACTCTGACAAGACTAAAATTTCATAGGAAAAAAAAGACTCACTAATATGGGAGAAATCCGAAAATATCGTTCTCGAGACTACCATTTAAAAGTAGTTAATTGTCTAAATAGCTATAAAAGTCTAATCAAGAACAAGCCTGACACTTCATCCTGTCTTCCTACCACTGATGTCAAATTGTTTAAAATGACACTAGCTAAGTAAATTTAACACACCACCTGTGACGCTAAACACGACTTTAAAAAAGGTGCTGTCGTATTCTATTTAAGTGTCTGTTATGGCACTCAATTTTGGCGATGAAGCCGACATACTTGTCAAAGAGAGGGAATCACCTATTTCAGTTGCTCACTAGCTCTTAGTGGTGAGTGGCTTCGACCTCTGTGCGGTTCTTTTCAGTCGCAGTTGATTTAAAACTGGTATATTTACCTTGCGCTCTTGGTGTAAACAATGACTTGTTTTGTCTCTTACTAGTGATATTGTGACGATGGCTACCCCGTTGGCTATCTACATTCTCTTGAATGGTAAGAAATTTTGTCGTGCAAGAATTCCTCCGAATCTACTTTATTTCATAGTATTTTGAACGTGAAACACAACATCGTACTCACGGGACGTGTGATTATGTTATGGTTAACAACTATTCATCAAAGTGGAAGTGAGTGGTTAGTAAGGGGGTCTCAATGGGGTTGGCCGTTAATTTAGTCGTTACTCTTGAAAAAAGTTAACCGTAAAAAAAATTTCTGGTAAGGACAATGGAAAGATGTTAACCGTTAGCCGTAAATTGGCCAAAATTTTAACCGTTGGCCGTAAAAGCCGTCACACCGTTGAGACTCACCAGAGGTGGGTATTTTTCCGAGCCGCCAATAGCCTTTTAGGACCTTTTAGCCGCGCCGCCATTCATCCATGGCCACCATTAGCCACCGACATGAAGGTAAATATTTGTATTGGTATATATCAAAACAGTGAGGTAATATAACACAAACAGATGAATTGAACTCATCTGTTCCTGCAACGATTACAATATTTTCGGGCGGAAATCCCGAGCGAGTTCCTGGGAGGTTAATAGCAAAGATATCCAGAGTCTGAGTAGCCAGTCAGAGCACGCCCTCTACGCAATTCACTCTTTAAGTATATCCTAATGGAGTTTAACACTTGCTTATATTTGGTTATCTCATCACGAACAATTCAACGAAATGCAGCGGAATGTTTGAGTTCCTTATTTGTAAGATATGTTGTTGGAAAAGAGACCAACCTTGAACACTCCAGAAAAACGTTTCACTTTTTCACCATTATATACTTTTGTTTCCCACATTTCGCACCTTCGTTTTCTCTTGATATATCAACGGTTATCTTTCCTCATTTGCATTTGATAATTGTGAGATGTTGTCGTTATGTTTTTATAACGTTACTTTTCATCCTTAAAGGTTTTTAAAAAACTCTCGTCATCTGAGATTTATGTTGAATTTTTTCCTTTTTTAAGTTTATTTTTGTTTCTTTACCAAGCTCTTTTTATTCATTTTTCTCTGGCTGGTGTAATTTTTAAACGTGAGAGTTGGCAAAAGGAGCTCAAGCCACAGGTGTGGTCAGGACCAAATCTATGCTACGATAAAGATGGAAATAACAAATTTGTAAGTCTTGGTGCAAATTCTGTTGACGTAATACGGGCTTTAAATACTTCCAAAGAAACTTCCACAAAAGTAATGGATCAACATCAGTATATGAGCAACTGCGCACCTACCCCTCCCCTTACCCAACAGCAGTCAAATGATAACAAGTTAGGGCCAATGTTGGGGGGGTTAGGGGAAGGGTAGGTGTGCAGTTTCTCAGATATTGACATTAATCCAAACTAATTCTGGAACGAATAAAAACAAGTCGTGGAACCAAGAACCCTTTACAGCTAACTGTTAACCCCATCGAGACACTCCTCCCATAGGCTGAGAATAAAGATAGAAAGAAAAGTGGTCCACCCTGTATGACTCGTCAAAACCAGGTTGTTTCGTTGAAGACTGACTTATAGGTCAAATTCCGAATGCTCCTTAAATGTTACTAATATATTCTATTAATCCTAGCTCTCGCTAGATTTATCAAAAAAAAAATTACAGTGCCTAGCTGTATCCATGATTTTTAAAACCCTATGATCGCAGCCTATTCCAAAGGACCCGCCCTGGTTTACAGACGACATGTGTCATCTGAGCGCATGCCTAGGGCTCATGGTTTTAACAAAGTCCATGTGTTTCACGAAAGGAACTTCATGTGGAGAAGTAGGTTCACGAAAAAAATTTGTTTTTTTTGTTTTTGTTTGGACATGTTTATTTATTCACAATCATCATCATCGCATGCAATCATCAGCACAAGTAAGCTCATAAGGCCAAGTTTAATCATTCACCTGATCTTTGTCTAAAAAGACAGAAAGTTGAAGGGAGGACTTCATAAACTAAAGAACTTTCGGTATTTCCCGTAATTGATTAATGGAATAAATGGGATTTCAGGGAAAGACGAATGAAGACTCGACTTGTTTTCTCGTATCATCATGAACGTTTACTGCAATAAAGTTTGTTGAAGTGGCTGTCTCTATTGAACTCTTAAGTATGTGTTCAATACAAACAGTAGCTTTAATTTTTTTCCAATGTATTATCCTCTTTATCCTTACAGGGTGAGTATTTAGCGGCAGTTCCTGAACCCCCTTCTCCAACAGCCTGTTGTGTATGTAAACCATGTAAGTCTCGTGTTTTTTTCTGTTTTTTTTTTTACACGCCTTGCATCTACTTGACTTGAACTCGGAGTTTGAGAAAGCGCAATCTTCAATCCTTTGAATCCCAGATGTGATTAGGAATTCTGCCTTCTAACTGTTATGCATTGCCTAGTAAGACTTGTAAGTTGGTCAAGAGTATTGATTTTACGTAGAAATATACAAAATATTAATCAGTAGCGGATTTAGGGGAGGGGCTCGGGGGCTGCCGGCCCCCCCCCCACCCCCCTCTATTTTGAGTAAAAAAAAAATCGCAGAAGGAAGAAAAGCCGGAAGGGCAAGCGACAAAAAATTAGTTCAAGGTCTGGATCCGCCACTGTCTACCCGTCTGCTGAATATCGTATTGATATCAATGACTCTTACATTGCACAATCTCGATTGCTCATTTATTTTTTTTCTTCAAAATATAGTTGAGCCACTTTCATGAGAAAAAACGAATGAAGCACTTGAGTGAAGGCAGCATCTTCGCTTGCCGACGATATGCCAGATCTACTAATCTCTATCCAGTCCTTGGTACAAGTCGTGTTATGAAGTGTCTCCTGTAGTCTTCGCCGGATCTTGACTCAGTGCATCCGTTGCGGTTTCATGGCCTTGATTTACAACGCCCCTAGCTAGCTCCAAAATTGATTGATAAAATTGACGAAGATCGGGTACGGTCGGAGGTACTTACTGAGCGCGCGGTTTCCGTCCTGTCATGCCTTTTTCAAAATATGACACAGTCCTATTACTGAATACAGTGAATGTGCTCGGCAGAAGGGATCCGTGTGGGCCGAGGAACAGGTGTAATAAGACAGATAGAGTATTCATAATATTGCTTTAAAATGCTTTCAATTTTTGATGAATTAAAAGACATTACAGACAAATTAAAATGAATGTCCTTAAGTGGCCAATCAAAAGTGAATACAGGCATTAGACCTAAATTTTGGGGAATTTTACTACTATGATAAAATAAAACATCAATAAACATGTGAAATATATTTGCGTGATTGAAAAGTCAATGAACACGCAATTGTTTGGTTTTTTTTACCTAATTTATACAATGACAAAGTCATAAACTGATAATATATTGCAGATGATGTTTTATTGATTACAATGGCTATTATTGACATGGTCTTCGCAATGAATTGATTATACTTTGTAGTAAACCTAGACTATGACGTATTAATCATTTACCCTTCACACCTTAAGATTGGTGTGCATATTCTCCACACTGTTCCCTACACATTTCCAATGGTACTGACAAGGAGAATTTGTTCAATACTTAAGAGCTTCTCTGGTGTGTGATCATCTCCTTTATTCTCATGACCTTAATGTTTGATTCAATAGTGATACTGTAAGGAGAAATGAGATGCAATCATTCTTAATGGTTAAAGGGTTAACCCTTTACACCCTAACATCAGTACCCAAATTCTCCATACTCTTCTCTATACATTTCCTTTGGTGCTAGCCAAGGAGAGTCATTTAAAAATCAAAGCTCCTAGGTTGGCAATTATTACCTTTATTCTGATAATTTTTATAAATGATTCAACAGTATCACTGCAAAGAGAAATTAGCTGCTAGTCACTCTTAGTGGTTTTGTACTCTACAATGCATCCTCACAGTGAGGATAAAGTGGACTCCACCAATTAATTACTTTAGCATCATATGCTGGCTCAAGGATAACACTGTTTCCCTCTTCCTTTCTATATCGGCCATCACTACGAGGTGAATGAAAAATTAACTTAATGCTGTTATACTTCATGTCACGACTAACACCAATGGAAGCTTTTGTCAATACATGACCTTGCACAGGAGAAACAGGCAGGTAATTAACACAATTTATTTGAAGAATGGAGTGTCCATCTTCAGGATTGTAATTCAAGTCATCAACTTGTGCCAACCATTCTTTGGAGAAATAACGAGGTTTACTTTTCATGCCAGCTGTTTTCTGAGAAAACTTGAAATAAAACGCCCAGATTTTCTTAGTTTGCTTCTTGCACAAGGCCTGCTTGTACCACATTGATATGCACATGTGACCTTCCAACACGTCTGGATCCTTTAAGTTATTATGAGACACAACACGAGTCCTAAATGGCTCATAGCCATGGAAAAGAGCTCTTATAATCCTTGCACGTAGTCCGGGGCGACACTCTATTCTATGTGGTTGTAGTCGTTCAGGTAGCTTGTTTGGCCTACTAATGTAACATTTATAGATTCTACACCAAAACATCCTTGTGTTTGTGGCTTGCCTTGCTCCTCTACAGATCAATGCAAACTTTTGCACATGTTCAGGATCAATATACTGTGCTAGCAAACACCATATATCGAGTGGATATAACAAACCATTCTTGTTACACTCTGTGTGTGGAGTATCCTTCTTTGTTTTCCTCTTTGATCTTTGTGATCTGGAAGTTGATGTGGATTGTTGTTCATGGATACCAATTGATGACTTCTCATCCTCTTCATCAGACAGTGAATCAAAGTCAGTTCTGTCATACCAGGGGATCATGTTTTCTTTTTCTGCTTCTGTAACTATTGCTGCTGTAAAAGGAACATACATATCACACGCTTTTAATCTATAATATCCCATGCAATGTGTTCTCATGAACCATGATTAGGTAGACTGCCATAGAGAATACTTCAGAGGTTGAGAGATAGTATGCACATCCTTTAAACCTTAGATGAACAATTTTTAAACTTTGTTTTGTCAAAAAGAATGAGCAAAGATTTGTAGAGAAATTATATGCCTGTTTTAAATGTCATATCACTTTGAAGAACACAGAAGAACAAACAATGAATTCTGATAATCAAAAGATTAGCACGAAAAACTATCATAACTGTTTAAATGCCCTTAAATTAATAACTCATTTACATCATTAAAAAAAATATTTCTATGGGCTAGAATTAAATTTAAGCAGTAAAGAAGTCATGATCCTTTACATTATAGAGAGTTACACCAGAATCTCTTTCATTTTTACGCCAAGAGCACTTATATGCATAACTTGTATCAAACATACTTGCACTTGATGAAAATCCTTTTGACACTCGCTTGAGTGCTTCCTTTGCATGTTTGGCATTAACAAAGTCTTCAACCACTGGATCTGAAACATTTTTGGTATCAGTAGCATTAATCTACATTGATCAATGATATCACAAAGAGGTACCTCTATAAGGTTGGGTTATGATTTATGTTTCATGAGACACACTACCCAGGAGGAACCCTCCACTGTAACATGCCACCGGTGTTATAATCACATCCAACATCCATATTAACGAAAACACAATTGAGTAGAGTCCAATTCAATCTGTAATCACTTGAGTGAGAAACAAAATCAAACAACCACAAAACAGGAAACCAATTTCATATGATTACAGATGGAATTAGATGACATGACTATGAAAAGATTTCTAAAACAACTAGCCATTTGTTACACGTTTTCATTAAAAATAAAAGACAGTTGACTAGGTGAAATGCACCAATTAACTATGCAGCCTCCACTCCTCTCTCTGCAAAGGCATGTTCCTCTTTAACCTGCACTCAAGCTAAAGATGGCAAGAATGTGCACCCTTGATTTTCTGTTTCCACCTCTTAAAAATGTAAACAGAGGCATTCAATGTCCGTGAGTAGCTTTGAAAGAATGCTAAAAATCCAAATTCCTTGACCGGAAACCTACCCGATGTAGGTATTAGGTGCAGATGAAATAATGAAACCCTAAAAATCACCGGCCGTCGCAAGTTCGTTTAAACGCCTCACCCTTATTTCAATCTCCATCACTGAGAGGCTAAGAAAGAAGAAATCCTAGAAAAATTGCAATCGAGTATAATTTACAATTTTTTAAGCTTAAATTATTTTAATGATTCGGAAGGATTCAACAGTAGAACATTCTTCATTCAAAATCCTCATGTTTCAATTCACAAAAGACGAAATTGGGAACTTATCTCTACAAGTCAACAAATTAAAAGCAATAGAAGAGCTTTATTAAATGGCTCAGACTAAGGTCGGAAGAGACCCAAAGCTCTAATAGCTGCTTATTATTAAACAAGATTTAGGAGAGAGTACTGAGCTTACCTCTTCCATTCACATCGTTGTTACACAGGGCTTTCTGAAGCTTTCCAGAACGTTGCCCTTTATTCCTACGTTTTTTCCGAGACATAATAATCTTCAGTCATAACCAGACTGCAACACCAACTTCATGCTATTTGTTCTGCTTTACTTTTATTTCAGCTTTGTTTACAAGACGTCTTCCAGATCTGCCATTTTCCTTCACTAACTTAGTAACCTGGCATTTTTCCAATTCCGTTTACGTGCTAAATGACGTCCCCGCTCGGAAAATCTATCAGACTTTCTTATTTTGAGCCCTACCTGCTACTCCTTGAACATCACTCGAAGGTCGTTAAGGCGATAGAGACTCAGTTCCACATGAACAGAGCCTGGTTTTGAGAGTTAAGAAAGAATTTACTCGGGAGTGCATGCATCTGGCTAAAGAAAATCCCAGAGTGCACGTCCACCCCCTCTCTCCCCTCTTACTGAAGGGGGTCCTACAGATCATGTCTACTCCTCTTATGTGGCAAAAAATGCCCCTGACTAGGATGCTAAAGTAGGATCCCAAAATATTTTCCACACTCCTGCTATGTAAGCTGGTTTGTAGACTATAGTCATGGAAAGTGTCATTTTTGGAAATTTTCTTAGAAAAATAAATTCGTAAGGGACTTTGCGAAATTAATTTAAAGAGCCTGGTTGAAGAAAATCCCGCCAAATTTGATAGATGTCATTAAAAATTAAAATAAGTGGACCCAAAACTAGTTTTCTTCAGACAATTGCTCGTCTACAGTCAATTTTCAATTTGGTATTCCCCATGGATTACATTTTGTGTAGCCTTGCTATCAAATTCATTTCCAGAGCTTTATACAGCATCAGTAATTTCTCTTCCCGTATCTAACAGAATAAATTATTAACACATTTCGATTGATTCCTGTTTATGACACGTTGAAGGAAAGATCCCTACATGATGTCATCACTTTCAACATTAAATTGAGTCTTAAATTGTTCTTTGCTTTGTACACCCCTACTACTTAGAATAATATCTTAACACCCCTCACAGCAAACTTATAATTTATTGCAGCCTTTTTGTATCACCTTTAGGGTTCCTGTGAGAAAGCAGCAAACCTAAAATATACAGCCCTTCTATATGACAAAAATGGCAGCAAAAATGATATAAAAATTGATATTGGGTAATATGTAAGACGTTATAACCTAATTTCTTCATTCCAAACTTTTGATCATTTTTATTATAACTACATGACATCAAAATGTGTCAATTCTTACAGAGCAGCATAACAGTTATAAAGTCAAGGATATACAATCTGACTTTGGTAACATTTGGTTGACATCATTCACATAATAAGAAACTGTTTCAGACGTATTCCTTCTTGGCTCCAGCTGTTATGCAGCTGGAGCCATAAACTGTGTCTTGGTCCAATTTTACACTATTTAAATTGTATATTTATGAATGATTTCATGGAAATTCAATCTTAAAAGAAAATGAAAATTAATCTATAACCTTATTGATCAGAAACCTATCATTCATTGCACTGATGAGCCCATAGAAAAATTGAAACATACTGGGCTGGTTATTTAAACAAAGTGTAACCCAAACCACAGTTTTGCACATTCAGTGGACCTCAGGCTTCCTAAGGTATATAAGGGGGTGGATTTAATTAAATAAATGCCCTTCTGCTGTTAGCTTTCAGCCCTCTTTATACTGTTCACAAAAATAAATGCTCTGATAAAAAGTTCACCAAAATTGAGGATTGTTTAGGATGTGGTTTTGTTAAACAATGGCTAACCTTTGTTTAAATAATCAGACAACTATGTTCTGCTTTCTGTTTTTTTCATAAAAAAGCTAAAGGCCACTCTCTGTTAGTTTACCTGCATAATAACCCATGAGGAATGTTAGAAGAACACTTAAAAAAATTTGTAAATCACTTACCTCCAGCTCATGACTTACAAATTTTTCATGTGTTTTCCCAAAATCATACATGGATTATTGCACTGGAAGACTGATACATGGAAAGTGCAGTCTATTGCTTAAATACTCTTTAGCGTCCAGTGGACAATAAATGTTTTATAATGTAATTCTCCCTTGCATTCTCATGCTTGGGCTTCCTTTGGCTATTTGCACCACAACATAAAAAGTGCAGCTAATAATAAGATATGAAAGGTCTTGGTTTAGAAAGTTAAGAAATAAGATCCTCAATTTACTAAACTATGAATGTACCTTTACATATGGCTAAAAGAAATCCCAGGGTACATGTCAACCACTCCTCTCCCATCTTTCAGAAGGGGGATCTTGTTGTTCATGTAAGCACTGACTGTGAACTGGCATCTTCTGGTTTTCATGTCAAGGTATTAGTTAGTCAAACATTAAACTCTTACTTGTGGTACACCTGACATTTCACAAAAGTTGCTGGTATTTCACAGTCAGAATACTGTGGAGCTTTTCCATCAATTTTCTCCTTGGTTTGCATTAAATTTTCCTTTTTTTTTCTTTTTCAAAAATATTGAATAGATGCAAATTCATTTGAAACAAAGGATAATGACATTTGAACCAAGGGTAAAACTGAACCATATGAACTACATCACAAGAGTGGAATATCATTATAAGGTGCATTGAATTGCATACCTTATGACTAGCCAACAATATTCTAACAAATGTCTTTTAAGAATGATTTTAAAATATTTCTTCCACTATGTGGCATCCTAATGGAGTTTTCTCCACCTTTGAAATAATATTTGAAAATGTGTTGACTAGATTCTTACAAAGAAGTAGAATTTGCTTAGGTGAATACTGCATACAGATACAAAATGTAGCATACCTCTATGTTAACCAGCTAATTTGCATGCATGTATGCCAGATACAGAATTAAAATTTTATGCCTTAATCATTATCCAGGCCAGAATCTCCGTTGAACAACTCTCTGGAGTATCCTCTCTGAGACTTCAGTGGTTATTACACAATCAGTTGATAATGAAAATTGCGAGGTGGTAGTTTGTGCTTCCTCCATGTCAACATCACTTGGTGTTCCAGGTGCTGCAACAATGTTACGGGTAGATTGACGCCTTTTTTCCAGAGCAGACTGAAATGTCTCACAAGCACTAGGGAAGTCTTCATCCAGTGAGAATTTCTTTGCCAACTTTGTAGCTGGTCCAATGGCCAATTGTCCATTGAATAGCACACGACTGACATGAAAAGATCTTTGATTAAGGCCCTCTTGAAGTTTAATATTCAGGTCTTCTAGGGAGACATCTCCACCTTCTGTCTTTCTGATTTCCTCAATAATAATGTCATAGGCAGTGCCAAAGAGATGTTCCTCAGAGATATTTGCACCAATTATACACCTGGCAACCTATCAAAAGGTAAATTAGCCAAGGCAATCAAACACAAATATTCAGTAATCGTTAAGTCTTCTAACCGACTCTTAAACTAAGAGGGCAGGCAAGTTTTCCAGTAATGTTGTACCCTTTTTACATTTTGCTGGCTACTTCAGTCATCAATTCATGACCAATGATTTTTAAGGAACAGTCACCTCCATTAAAACTCAAATAAACCCCTACAATGTAGTCCAGGTTAAATAAGATACCTGTCAGTGATCAAACTATGTGTTTTATTTGCTTTCCACAGGTACAGGTAGGTAGGTTTGATAGGTTCCTATGTGGAATACATAATTTCTATAGATCACAAGACTCATTTGACCACTTCACTAACCAGAAATTTATAAATAGATAATATTAGGCTGTTTCCGCTCTAAGACTAATACATACAATAAATGCAAAGTTGCATGTCAAACCAGTCAATGAGAATCATATACTAGTCACCTTATTCAATGGTTAACATACACTGTTTTAATTAATAAATGTGGACATTTGGCAAGTTGTATCAACTCACTATTATTTTTCCAAGCCCCAAAGGGGCAAGGAAATAAAAGATTTATTCTTCCACTACTATTTCACTTCTTGGTACTTTGATTTAGTTTGCAAAACACATCCAATGGCCTATCTGTACATCATATTGATTGCATAAGGAAGACGTAAAAGACACAAAAGGAAGACGTAAAAGACCAACTTTGGTTAACAAAAACAAAACCATTCACCAAGTTTCACTTGTGACCAACAAAAAAAATCTGCTGTGCTTAATAGTTGTTTCTTTAAAAAGCAAGCCTAAAAAAGGGAAAAAAATAATCAAAATTTGGAGTGCTCATAGTGGCAATTTTGTTGCTCCGTATTTCTGGCTTGTTCTATGGTGTAATATCATAGCACATTTTGCAGGTTCTCATGACCTTAACTGGTAAAATGACTATCATGATAATTATAGTGAAATGATAAATTAATGAAGTTATCAACAAGCAATTACATTTTTCAAAGAAAACCCTCCAGTCAGGATTTGATTCAAGTCAATGAACAGATTTCAGTTGACTTGTGCACCAAATGACAAAAAATCAAGTCATGAAAGCAATTTACTTGAAGTTCATTTGGCAAGACTTATCAATTGAAGAGAATTTTCTTAGGATAGTTGCCACACACTTTTATGAAAACTTTCCCTTGAAATTTTAGAACTTATTAACATCCACAGAAAATCAGATTTTATAAGTTCCTATGGATAAAAACAAGAGTTTGGAAAATTCCTGAAAAGTAGTCCCTTGAAATTTTGCCAGCAATTCACTTGCAAAATTATCTTTAAAAAAAACCACAAAAGGACAAGAAATTCCTTCAAGTTTACTTGCTTCACTAACATTGTATACTCAATAGAAAGTCACAGTGCATCTCTACTTTCTTAGCCAATTAAAGCGTGTGAAAGTGCCAGCTAATGACCTTCTGAGTCTCTACACCACTTGCATATGCCCAGTTGCAGAGTATGCATGTCCAGTCTTTGATATTGCTCTACCACAATATCTCTCCAATCAGTTAGAACACCAGCAGAAGTAAGCACTATGCATAATAAGCACTAATGATTTATCTTATAGACAGGCTTTAGAAGTTTTTAACATACCTACCTTGTATGACATGAGAGAGGCAATTGTAATTCAATGTTTAAAGAGATAAGTAATAACAACAATCACAAACTTTATTCACTACTTCCGCCACCTTGCCTTGGCATGTTGTGAACATGGAAAATCACAAGTTCCAAGTCCTGCGTTTTAACACCAATCATTTTAGAGACAGTTTTATTGTAAGCCATTGCCAATAGCATGTCCTTGTACAACTCATATATTAATTGATCTGATTTCG